GAGCCTTGTTAAATAGAAGACAGAACAGAGATTTAAAGGGATAGTAATCGAATAAAAGATTTCTTAGAGCTACAAAGGACAGAATGAGGTGGAAAGCACTGGTCGTCCAAGATCCTGAACGGACATATTACATAAAATGATATCTTCCTCTTGACTGAGGCTCGGATAGTTCATAAACAGTATACCATCAATTGTATATTGTTAAAAAGTGTCATGTTGTTTAACAATATATACAAGTCATTGATAAAAATTAACAGCAGTGACACATTGCCACGACATTAAATAGTGCAGTCAGTGATGCTTTCGTATTGTTTTATCTAGCCAACTTCACACAAAAGGTTTAGGTCATTTCTCAACGATGCTACAGGCGGGGCTCAATATTATCTAGTATGATATGTTTGACTAAATGACCAAAGTGAGATTCAAGTCCAGATTTAATGGTCAAAAGACTAACCAATCAGTCCCATACCCAGGATAATTGATTTTTGAAACAATATTACTTTCAATATTTGAATAGCCAAGTAGGGACTATTTTAAAGTTATTATTGAAAAAAATTCTTTAACATGTATACAGTTCGAGCGAAGAGCCTTTTTGAATATATATATATATATATATATATATATATATATATATATATATATATATATATATATATGAAGAAATATAGCCTTAATAGTTTTAAGGTGTGCTATATTTATGTGATAAAGTGCTCAATATCATAGATAGAGCGTATGTAAATATAAATATAAAAGTGAACATTAAAGTCAACACTCAGATGTTTCATGCTAGCCACAATCGTCATATATATATATATATATATATATATATATATATATATATATATATATATGTGTGTGTGTGTGTGTGTGTGTGTGTGTGTGTGTGTGTGAAAAGTGTATATAAATATGTATAATTATTTATATATTATATGCGCGGTACTTATTAGAAAGCGCTCAATATCAGAGATAGAGTTTGTCTGACGATCGCTAAAGGGAAACCCAGGGTCACAAACTCACATCTATCCAACAAATATATATATATATATATATATATATATATATATATATTATATATATATATATATACGAAATAGACTATCTTCTATGTTGGGGGTAATTTTGTTTTTTTGCTGTAAAAAGACATATACTTTGTTATAATAAATACATCGATTATTTTCATTTCAAAAATGCAAGCCTATTTTTAATTTTTCTTATCGAGTGTATATATATATATATATATATATATATATATATATATATATATATAGGTAAGATAAGAAGAAATGAATTCCACTGTCCATAGCATTTAATTGATGGAATCATATTTTTTTAAGAAATAATTATAATTTTAACCTCTACTTTTGTATCGAGCCCTGTTTTTTAAAATTAAAAACAAAAATACTAAAGAACTTTGGACCATCAATATAACAATTGTTTCTTATTACAAGAATACACACAGACACAAACACACACAAACCTATGTGTACCTTGTGTGTCTATATATATATATATATATGTGTGTGTGTGTGTGTGTGTGTGTGTGTGTGTGAGAGAGAGAGAGAGAGAGAGAGAGAGAGAGAGAGAGAGAGAGAGAGTTTTTAAAACAAACTCTTACGCTCTCCCGGACCAAAAATATCTGTTTTGATCATTTGATACTTATCCATGTATACATAATGAATGCATGATTTTTTTTTTTATCTTATCCGATATGAAATTATTTTTGAATAGTAATATGTGTTGGCCATAAAAGCTTAATTCTCTTTCAACATATTGATATCAAACTGGATTCTCGTGGCAAGTGGCCTTTACAAAGTCTCGTTGTTTAGCAACGAAAGATATAATATTCTACATTTGATGTCGGTTGCTTTGGAAAGAGAAGCCATTTTTTTTGTATTCTTTTGCTTTATCCAAAATAGTAACTATTCATTTCGATTTGTAGAATTTTCGAATTCAAATGATAATTGCCTACATTTCACGAATTCTCTTAGGCAGTTAGAATTTTCTATAAATTCTCCATGTTAAACAACCACATACACCCCCCCATATATATATATATATATATATATATATATATATATATATATATATATATATATATATATGTGTGTGTGTGTGTGTGTGTGCATGTGCATGTGCGTGTGTGATGTATAGTTTAGCCACTCCGAGTAAACAGTGCGGATTCGCTTTTAACATGTTGAAAATTTAGAGACATTTACGTACTTTTATTTGATACCGCTTCCTTTTATTATAATTCCCTGACAGATAACAGATATAAGTTTGTCTCTGAGACGTTTTGTTAATGCTCTTAATATATTCACTCTTCTGTATAATTGTAAGACAGAGTCTAATAAGAATATTATATATATATAAATATATATATATATATATATATATATATATATATATATATATATATATATATATATATATATATGGTGCACAACATATATATGATGTTGTATAATACTATATAGCTGTACATAGTATTACACAACAAAATCCCAAATGACCTCATATGGGGGGATAGATCTATTTCAACCAACGAAAACGTCATCTGTCTTATTCAACCCCAGTGTATAGACAGTGTTCGTGTCGGAATTAGAAATTTAATTGTGTTAACCGTGAACAAATTCGAACAGAATTTATCCATTTTACTTATTCAGTCAGACGAAATGCACGAGACGGAGGTTGGAAGTTGGAAGGTATAAGCCTTAAAGGGAAGAGGTTTTATGAAAATAAACCAAGATATTAACCTTATGACATTAAATTGGGGTTATATGCAAAATGATGTGTTAATTAGAAACTAAAAAGGACCGAAATCAGGAATTTAAAAAAAAATACAAAGTTCCTGCTTAAAAAATACTCTTCCAAAGACAAATATACATAAAAGAAAATATATTTAACTTATTAAAAATAAGCCATATTTAGATAATTTATATTAAATATAAGTAAGAATATATTTTTTTTTAAATTATCATTAATAAAATTAATTCTAATTCTGACAAGAACTCAGTCTATACACAGGGGTTGAATAAAATGTGTGTGTATGTGTATCTATGCATGTATATATATGTGTGTGTGTATCTATGTATATATATATATATATATATATATATATATATATATATATATATACATATGTATCTATGTATGTATATATATAAATATGTATGTATCTATGTATATATATATGTGTGTATGTATGTATGTATATATATATATATGTGTGTGTGTATGTATCTATGTATATAGATAATTTAGTTCTCAATTCTCAAATTACCATATTAGTAAAAAAACGCACTGACTTAAATTTTCAAAAAAAAATTTGAAAAAATTCAACCTTAGCATTGCGACTGCATGCTCAAAATTTTTTTATCCGTTAACAATAACACATTTCTAAAAAAAACATATTTTGATTTGCATTTAATCTTTGGTCTCCAATGCTACCTGGATTTACTAAAAACAAAATAATTTCCATACCTGAGGATGACTGTATGTACAGTTGAAAGTACTTGCAGATTAAAAAAAGACCTTATACAGCTTGTAGTTATTAAAAACAAAGATCATAGCATTCATAACATTTTGTTTGAGAAGATTTTTTGGCATTTTATATCATTAACTTTACTAATCTACTTTTTGTATGAATGATTCATGTAATATAAATTGAACTGCGCTACATATTTTATTTATATATATATATATATATATATATATATATATATATATATATATATATATATATATATATATATATATATCGTCGTTATCCTCTCATCATCATCAAGCCACATATACATACATTACCAATTAGAGGAGGATATTAATCCAGACAGAGGTCAATGTCAACAACAGACCATAATAATAATAATAAATCAAGAAAAAAAACTTTTTTCTCCAAGGTCATCGCTTCTAGTCCCAGTACGATAATTAAGCAAAGCATAACGCATTAAAAAATAAACGTTATCTAGACGAGGGTTAATTTCTCATCCTTCAGTGGCCAATTCGTCGTCCTGGCCATAACCACATTAAAAACCTTTGGAGGAGAATGGAAAAGCGTTCACATAATCGGAAAGTTAACACAGAAGATGGGTTTTTTCGCGAATTAATGGAATTCTGGAAAAATTTGGCTAAGGACGTTGACTTAATAAAGAATTTAGTTTAAAGGATTCCACGAAGGGTCTGGTGATATAAAAGAAAAGCTACAACTCAAGTCAATTCGGCATTAAATCACCTTCAAAATAGACCCCTTCTGAGGCCGCACACTATATCCTGCATTGTTTTCATTGATGGCATCATTCCTGGAACTCGTTTTTTTTGCGATAGCACTCTCTTAGATTGCATCGGTGTCTTGAAAACTTGTTTCTTTCAAGTGGGATTTGAATTTTTTGGAGGAAAGTGTTGCAAGAGCCGAGATCTGGGGAATATAGTGGTTATCGGACCTGGGAAATGTGCGCTTGACCGAAGAAAATCCTCTACACAAGTCATGGTGAAGACGACCACACTCTACACACTTTCCTTCCAAGCACTGCTATAAACAACGGAAGTGAACAAGAACGTTATAAGTAATGTGTATGCTGGTCAGAGTTCAAGCTCTATTCGTGTCAAAACGGTTTCATTCGGCCTACTTTAGCTCAGTTACAACAACCTCTTACATTTTTTTAAAATTTTATTTCGGGTAACAGCGTAGAAATACCGGGATTGTTATTCAGGTAACTGCACTGGGAATGTTGGGCCCGTTGTTCTTTACAGATTGTCCATTTAAAGGGTATATACGTCAAATTCAGTTCTGAAAGCCTTTTTCGTGACGAGACGTTTTAATCTATAATTTTCCTTCAGAATAATCTATATTTGTCTAAAAGTTAGGCAAATATCAGTAAAAGAGTTACACAACCTAAATTATTCATATGTACAGAGGTGAATTTCGTCTTCCATTCCCTTATTTCTCTACTTCTTACCTACAGTTTTAGAGTGAAGTTTTATATCTAAAGTCCAGCGGAGATATGTATAAGGTGACGCATACAAGTCTAACAAATCAGCAGTTAATTATCTATCAACGTTTATATAAGTTTCTCCCAGGACTCGTCTTCGTAGATATGATAGGTTCGTGCCAATCGAACATTGATTAGCATCGTGTATTGTTACAACCGCGTTTTTATATTATCTGTAATCTGCGAATTGTCATAATTATTTTAGGGAAAGATAGGGAATAGTTTACCGATGTCTTCAGCACGTTATTGTATTTCGTTTTGGCTGGTTGCTAAACAAGTCTTACGAGGCATGTCTTCACCATTATTAAACACAATGGAGTGGAGCAGATGAATTCAAAGCTTTCTTAAAGCTAATATGTCGAAAAAAAACGAACTTCCTCAGAGAGAATTGGAAATCACAGTTTTTTTAAACGCCAAGGTTATTGTCGATTGGTTGATCTATCTATCTATCTATCTATCTATCTATCTATCTACACACAGAGACCCACATACACACAAATACACACATATATATTAGGCTATTTACATTAGTCTATGTAACTATTTTTATCTATCTATCTATATATCTATGTATCTATCTCTTTTCATCCCTCAATGCTATCTATCTATCTATCTATCTATCTATCTATCTATCTATCTATCTGTCTTTTCATCTATCTATCCAACTATACCAGTCTATTCATATATTTCTTTATATCTATATAACTATTTTTTATCTATCTATCTATCTATCTATCTATCTATCTATATCTAAGTCTTTCCATCACTTTTCTCAATCCCTCTCAGTGCTATGTTCTATCTATCTATCTATCTATCTATCTATCTATCTATCTATCTATCTATCTATCTATCTATCTTTTTCTTCACTTTTCTCAATCCCTCTCAGTGCTATCATCTATCTATCTATCTATCTAACTATCTATCTATCTATTTTTATGTGTTTAGCATTATAACCCTACTCTCCATGTTTTATGTATATATAAAAATGTACTAGATGTAAGTAATTGACAGTGATAGTAATGTTAATAGTAATGACAACTATTTGGATAAAATATCCTTAATTTCAGACCCAAAATAATAACCCTGTTGCGACTTCGAGGCTATAGAAAATATCGCCATCTTGATTTGATGGATAAAGAGAAACGACAGAAGACCAAGGTTCGGTGGAAAATGCAGAAATGAACGGCCGGTATCACCGAACTGTGATGAGACACGTTGAAGAAACACCATGTAGGCCTGCTAAGGATAAATTGAAGAAATTATCTCGCTGATCTGTGTCTCGTATCAATGAATAAGCTATAGAAAATCATCCGTCATTGTCAAGCTATGATGATTTTAGGCGTTGTGACGACGAAGACACGTTATAAATGAAATATCAAAATCTGAGTGACCGATCGGTAGACGTTCTATAAAAGACGCACATAAGTAAAATCAAATAAAATGTGCAACCGCGTATATGAATACTAATTTTTTCTCTTTTCATCCAAGAGTCCCGTTCTGCTTTCGGTAGGCCAGGTAGAGAGATAATCGTTTTGCAAGCTACTGGTGGATACGTCAGCAAAAAGAAGTGTTACAATTTATATATTATGATTATAAATAGAGACGAGGACGTGGAGAGCTTCAGATGGTGTTAAGATAAGAGCTCAGATATAGACTGATTCTTGAAGGCAAACGTTGTGCTCTGGTTCTAGAAAACGCCAAAAACTTTCAAACGGAAGATGGGTTTTATACACGACAGTAGTTAAAAAATACTGACTGTCTGAGTAAAATTAGGTTCAAAGACATGCGTTTGATGAAATGGTCAAATTTTTCCAACTATCGAACTAATGTTGCGGAGCGTTTTGAAGAGAAATATTATCATTGCCAGACGGCTATTTATAATCAACAATGAACTTTGAAACTATAGAGTGCGTTTTAGATATGGGATAACAAGAGGTTTTAAAAAAATCAATGTAGGGACGTAGAATTAGCATTAATGTGATCGTTATAAACTAATGTGGAATGATGATAAATACACTCACACATACACATACAAACATGTATATACATCGTTGTGCAAATTAATTGAAACAAAAATTCCGTCATCATTTATTTTTTCGTATTTTTCAAATGAAACATGACCCAGAGCACATGTTAGTACTTCGTATGTCCATTCCACGAGGTCGTTCCTTGCAGATTGACCTTAGATTCTTGATTGGATTTAAAGCAGGAGAGTTTCCGATTCAGTCTATAGTACTTTGATTTGCACACTGGTTAGGATTGCCAGTGTATTCGTGCAGCGTTACAAATTGCGTAAGCTTCCTTTGAGTAACGCCCATCCCAGACAATGGCCGTATGACAACTAATCGACAGTCGAGACAATAGTGTCTGGGCATGATAGAAATCTGATGCAATCACGGATTACTCAATATTTTCAAATCCAAACAAATTTCATCACACACCCCGAATGTAGATTCATATAACTGCACACGACTGCAAATGACCTAATCTGAGGAAAAAATAGAAATTGATTACACCCTGTCAGTCTAGTGTGTCTAAAACTGGCCGCGTGGTGAAAGAAGTGAACTAAATTAACAAACACACGACGTTTGGTTAATAAAAGAAGAAGAAGAAGAAGAAGAAGAAGAAGAAGAAGGAGGAGGAGGAGGAGGAGGAGAAGAGGGAGAAGCAAGAGTATTATGAATGTATCGTTGTCGGGCTAGTTGAAATATACATATCTTTTTTTTATCCAGCCTCATATGTGTCTGTGCTCAAGAGGTCATTTTGAATTTTTTACTATACAGTAGTGACTGACAAACACCTCCGAAAAACCAGCCTAGAAGAACTACATAGAACTCAAAACAGAATGAGGCTACTCAACAACAGTAATAAGCAAAGGCCTTGAACTCGCAACTACGATATCCAAAGAAACGTAACGTCGAACAAATTGTAGTATATGTTTCAACATACAACAAGAACAATCCAGAAGTATTTACAGAAATCACAAAAAAATCTAAACCTACTTAGCCAGAATGACAAACTAAAATTTATACTAAAATCCACCAAAATTAATTAAAACACCAATCTGAAAAACCTGAAACACATACAAACCTCATCCAAATTTAACCAACACACAATACAGGGAGTCACAAAATGCTACAAAAAAATGTGGGTTTTCTGACATTCTTATTGAAAGAATCTCCTACACTTTTGAAAATTCCAATTTCATAATAAAAAAAAATAAACTGTAACTACAAAAATGTGATTTGTGTACTCAAATGCACAAAATGCAAGAAGTCATATATAGGCATCAGCCAACAACTAAACAGCAGACATCACATTACCAGACAACAGACAACACTTTGTATCACTTTGTATCTATAAATGTAACCAGAGTGAATATAAAATCATGCCAATGTATCAAACAGACAATTATTCTTAACTACAAATACAACAAAAATTCATAAACAAATTTCATCCAGCACTAAATAGATCATAACCTCAAACACAAAAACACACAACATGCATACATTATGGCCAAATATAATGCTCGAACCACTCACATGCATGCGTGCTCACTCACACGCGTGTATCTATGGAGCATGAATATATATACACATATAGACTACACACAAGCACACACACGAACCCACCACAACATATGAAGTGTATGTGTATTTATACATGTATATATATATATATATATGTGTGTGTGTGTGTGTGTGTGTGTGTGTGTGTGCGTGTGTGTGTGTTTATGTATATGCTAATTCTTTATAATAAGACTGCATGTATATATGGAGAGGGAATATACATACGCATACTAACAAAAACACACACGGTACAAAAAAAGAAAGTACATCTAAGAACACACAGGGGTCATTAAAATATAAGAATACAAATATCTTTCCTCGTCCTTTCTCGGAACAATGTTAATTGTTTTATTACCCTTCAAGCTGAAGAACTTTTCTCACTGTCACTACCACACAAAAAAGAGAATGTTTAACATCGAAAAACATAAGGAAAATTAAACCATTTTAATATTTTTTGGAAATATCAAGTCTTTGCCTGAAGAAGGTTGCGAAACCCGAAACACGTGTTGCAACATTATAGAAAATAAAATATAATATATATTTTTCTTTTAAAAAATCCATATTAAAACAAAAAACGTTTGTGGTTTCTCTTTTTTAAAATATTTACACTTTTCTCTAGTTGCAACAACTATAACCTCTTCCGTTTATATATATATATATATATATATATATATATATATATATATATATGAGAGACAAAATTTTTCAAGTGACCAATATCTGTTGACATTTCATGGATCAAACATCGTAACCAGAATAACAGATTTTATTTCAACTGAATCGATATAATCTCAACAGAAGTGATGTACTTTAAGCCTGTGAGCACTTGATTTTTAATATACGACCCAAACTACCCTAGTAGCTGTTCTTACTTGACTGCTGTGAAAACAATGCAGCGTGTGTACTGAAAACAACACTTCGAGGCGATAGTCTGTTTTATGTCAAAGGCAATCGTCAGGCCATGTTCGTTATGTTTTCTCAATTATTTATATATATAGGTCACTGAGTTATTGTTGGTAGACTAAGGGTCATTTTGGTGGACAGTAATGGTTGTTTTTCAAATTATTCTACAATTTATTGAGTGGGTATAATTGTGCATCCGGATGCCGTTTGGTGTTATTAGATAAATATTTATTTATTATTGAATATTTTGTTGCTCGTTGTTATTACTACGTTTACTTGTGCGTACGTGGCTTGTTAATTTGTTTTAATATTTACTTAGTTTATTCACTTATTTATTTCTTTGGATTAATTCATTTTACTTATTTTAGATTATTTATTTTCTTTATTTATTTTCGTTTCTTATTGTTCGTTTTCAATTTGAGATGTTTAAGTAAGGTAGTTTTAATTTACTTTTAGATGAGTTCAGATTGTAGCTAATCTTAGTCTAAAAAAGGTAGTTATAGCTATTTTCCTCCCAAATCTTTAAACACTGCCTTTTATATTTATATACGCTCTATCTCTGATATTGAGCCCTTTAACCCATAAATATACCATATCTTAAAACTATAATTTATCACACGCACACATATATGTTTATGTATAATTTTGTTTAGTTTTACAGCATATCAACCACAAGGGTTATTTAATGGCGACAATTTATTTTTGCTGGTAATATTTTTCCCTTCAAAATGTATTGCTGATAAGATTTTTTCTTCAAAAATTTATCTCTGGTAATAAATTTTTACAAAGTATTTCTGGTATTAAAACCTATTTTTACTTTTTACCCTTTCATACACTTTCATAATGTTTTGATCCCAGTTTGGAGAGAGGCTAACTATAGCCATAGTTGGGACCCTAACAGGTACGACCACCCCGGGTCAGGTTGGACCTGGGAACATCAGCAATTATAAGATGGTTCCACCGTCCTCAAAACCTTTTGATCAGAGGCCATACCCAGGACGCGGATGTAGTTTATCGTCATACCCAGAACGGGTATATATATATATATATATAATACATAAAATATTAATTGTCAGAGTTGAATCAAACCAGTGCTCAAGACACGTGGGAAAAATAAAATAAAAGTAAAAATAACCTGTAAAATTTTTAACTTTCCAGGTCTAAAGAACCTTCTGAACCAGAAATCCAAAGTCTTGAGTCCTTGCTTACGTATTAGAAAATTATTTTATTCATTTTATTATTAAAATAACATACGCGCACAAAGTAGATAAATACAACAGTAGGAGATCCGAGGTCGATACAGAGACTATTGACATAGGCAATAAGTTAAATATTGCAGTTAGACTGAGAAAGATCCATACTAAAGATGTTTACATTTTATTTAAGGATCATAAACCTAACTTAGCTAGTAGTACACAGTCTAAATTAATAAACCCAACTAAAACTGAATTAGGTTTAATCTAAAAAAATATGGTAATCTT